GACAAAGCCTCTGACTTAGATATAACCACCATAAAGAATGATAAAATATTTTTTAAAAAATGAGTACATCAGACAGGAAACACTAGAGATACCATTATACCCAAATATCCAAATAATTGCTATTCCAGAAAGTGAAGAATCTGATATGGACATATACAACCTCTTCCATTAAATACTTACAGAAAGCTTCCCAAACCTAGAGAAATATTCAGACATGCAGATGCAGGAAATACAAAGGATGCCAAATCAAGTCAATATAAGATCCTCATCCCAGCACATTATATAGCTAGATTGGTCAAAATCAAAGACAAAGACAATATTCTAAAAATGGCAAGAGAGATATGTCAATTTACCTACAAAGGTTAGCCTATTAGGGTAACATCTGACATCTTGACGAAAACAATGCAAGCAAGGAAAAGATGGGCCGACATACTCAAAATGCTAAAAGTAAGACAATTTCAATCAAGAATATTATCCAGCAAGATTATCCTTCAAATGGGAAAAAATATATAAACTCATTCTCAGATAAACAAACTTGAAAGAATTTACCCATACTAGACCAGCTCTTCAAGAATTACTGAAAGGATGGGACCAACAGTTAGCGTAATGGCTATGTCGCTGGATTCCCATGTAGACGACCACATTCGCACCCCGGACACGGTGGCTTAAACTCACGCCGGGCACGTGTGCGTGCATGCCCAGGATCTCGAGAGGAGAATGGAGGAGAAGGGACTGTGGCGTGTCCATCCCCCCTGGGGGGTGATTTCTCGCTTTCTGTCTCTCTGTCTCTCTCTCTGTGTCTGGCGAGCACATGCGTCCTATAGCAAAAACTTCTTTAAAAAAAAAAAAAGAATTACTGAAAGGAACACTATTAATACATCAGGAAAGCTAAGAGAAACAAACAGAAATACAAGAACACAAAATAACTAAGAAAATGGCTTACAATGTGACAGGGATAAGTCTGCAAATATCAATAAGAACATTAAATGTTAATAGATTTAATTCTCCACTGGCTGAATAAACAATAAATTTTAAAAAATAAAAAAACAGGAGTTTTCTATGTGCTGCTTGCAAGAAACGCAGCTCACTGATAAAGATACACACAGACTGAAAGTGAAGGGTTGGAAAAAGATATGCCACACAATGGAAATCAAAAGAAGGTTGAAGTTGCAGTACTGACACCAGACAAAATAGACTTTGAGACAAAAACTGTAAGAAAAGACAAAGAAGGACACCAAAAATACTAAAAGGGCTAATTCACCAAGAAGGCCTAACACATGAATATCTATGCACCCAACACTGGAGCACTCAAATATATGAAAGGAAGACTACTAGATTCAAAGGGAGAGAGACTGCAACACTCTAAGTGTTGGAGATCTCAACACCACCCTGTCTTCTCTAGACAGATCCTCTAGATTAAAAAATAAGCAGAGAGATACAGGACCTAAACAATCCCATAAATCAATCGGACTTGACAGACATCTATAAAACCTACCACCCACTAACCACAAAATATGCATTCTTCTCATAGAACATTTCAAAGACTGACCACATGATAGGGCACAAAACAAGTCTTTACAAATACAAAGGTATACAAACTATACCCAGCATCGTTTCTGACCACAATAGAATTAAACTTGAAATTAACTGCAGAAAGAACCCTGGAAAATACACAAACACATGGAAATTAAAAACTTACTCCTGAATGACTTTGCAGCCACTGAAGAAATCAAGGCTAAAATAACAAGATTCATTGAAACCAATGATAATGAGTATATGACTTTTCATAACCTATGGAGCACAGTAAAAGCAGTCTTGAGAGAGAAGTTCACTGCAGTTATTGCCTACAAGAAAAAAACTGAAAAGTGGCAAATAACAACTTAATAACACATCTCAGGGAATTGGAAAAAAATACTAAGAGAAAAGAAATGAAACTACAGTAGAAATACATGAAATAGAGAAAAGAACTATACAGAAAATAAATGAAACCAAAAGCTGGTTCTTTGAGAAGATAAAGAAAATTGACATACCATTAGCTAGAGTAATCAAGAACACAAAAAGGAACCAGATAAATCAACGATGATGCAGGCAATATTACGACATACCAAAAATATAAAAGATCATAAGAGAATACTATGAGTGATTATATGCCAACAAACAAGAAAACCTAGATGAAAGGGACAAATTACATAAATAATCTACCAAAATTGAATCAGGAAGACATAGAAAGCCTGAATAGACCATGAGATTGAATAACAAGCCACGAGGCTGAATCAATAATAAATAGTCTCCCAACAAAGAAGAGCTCAGGTCTGAATGGCTTCACTTCTGTCTACAAAACTTTTATAGAAGAGCTAATCCCAATTCTACTCAAACTTGTTTCAAAGCTCCAAAAGGAAGGGACACCCCCCCCCAATTCATTCTGTGAAACCTCCATCATCCTGATACCAGAAGCATACAAGGACACAAGAAAAGAAAACTACAGACCCTGATGAAAATAGATACAAAAATTCTCAATAAAATATGAGGAAATTGTATCCAACAACTCATTAAAAAGATTATACACCATGACCAGGTAAGCTTTATTCTAGGGAATGCAAAGGTGGTCCAACATAAACAAAATGATAAATACATCACATTTGCAGAAGGAAAGATAAAAACTATATAATCATATCAATCGATGTAGAGAAGGCATTTAAAGGGATGATTTAAATGCTTTGACAAAATGACCGGAAAAAATGAAAAATAACCTTTATGATTAAAACTCTCAGAAAAGTCAACATTAAGGGGACATTTCCCGGGAGCAGGAGAAGGTGTAATGTTTACTTTGCTGGACTCCCATGTAGTGAATCACAGTTTGAGTCCCAGACCCGGCAGCTTAAAACTCACACCAGGTGCACATGTGTATGTACCCAAAATCTGAAGAGGAGAATGGAAGAGAAGGGACTGCAGCATGGCCAACCCCCTAGGGGGTGACTTCTCACTCTGTCTCTCTGGTGAGCACACACACACCCTATAGCAAAAATCTTTCTCTTAAAAAAAAAAAAAAGGAGGAAGGGCATTTCTCAACATAATAAAAGCCATATGTTGGGTTATTAGAAAAGTCATAACATATTTCTCTGTTTTTCTGTGAAAAAATTCATCATGACTTTTGTGAAGACGCACCCAGTATGACAAGCTCATAACCACCATACTGAATAGGGAAAAGGCTGAACACTTTTCCACTAAAAACTAGAATAAGACAAGGTTGTCCACTTAATCCACTCCTTTTTAACATAGTACGGGAAGTATTAGCCAATGCACTTAGACAAAAAGTAAAATAAAAGCATTTGAACAGGAAAAAAGAAACTGAAATGATCTCTATTTGAAAATGACATGATTGTACAGCTAGAAAATCCAAAAGAGTCTATTTTAAAAACTCCTGGAAGTGATATGTGAATACAGTAACGTGGCAGAATACAAAGTCAGCATACAAAAATCTGTAACATTTGTATATACCAACAATGAACAGAATGATGTAGAACTGAAGAAAGCAATCCCATCTATAATAGCCACAAAAAATACACAATTCCCTCATAATAAACTTAACCAAAGAAGTGAGAAACCTCTACAAGAGAAACTATGAAAAACTAAAAACAGAAATTGAAAATTATTCAAAAAAGTGAAAACAGCCCACATTTCTGGGTTGGAAGAATTAAAATAATCAAAATATCAATCATACCCAAATTAGTTGACAAGTTCATTGCAATTCTGACCAAATTACTAGAAGCAGAAGAAAAAAATCATAAAATTTGTCTGGAATCATAAAAGGCCCTGTAATGCCAAAGCAAAATTGTGCAAAAAAATTTAAGTAGGAGCTATCTCACTTCCTAACATCAACGCATTTTACAAAGCTGTCATAATCAAAACAACATGGTATTTCCAAAAACAGGCATGTAGGCCAATGGAACATGTGGTCCAAAAACAGGCATGTAGGCCAATGGAACATAAACGAGAACTCAAAATTAACCCCAAAACATAAAGCCAATTGATGTCAACAAAGTGCACAAGACAATGCACTGGGGAAAAGAAAATCTCTTCAGCAAATGACGCTGGAAAAAGTGGGTGCTCATCTTCAGAAAAATGAAAGGAGACCCATATCTCTCACCACTAACAAAAATCAACTCAAAATGGATCAAAAATCTAAACATAAATCCTCCAATTATAAAACTACTGGTGGAAAACTAAAGTGAAACTCTTGGAGATGCTGGAGTAGGCAGAGACTTCTTAAAACCCCTGAGGCATAGGCATTAAATAAGAACCCCAAAGCACAGGCAATAACCCTGAAAAGGGATAAGTGGTAATACAACAGGCAAAGTTTCTTAATGACAAAAAAGAACAATAATTAAAGTGAACAGTAACTAAAAGATATAATAACAATAAGAGAATGGGATAATATAGTTGTAAACTTTCCCTCAGATAAGAGACTGATAATTAGAATATATAGGGAATTCAAGCAGCTTACCTGCAAAAAAAAAAAAATAAACCCAACCTAAAAATGGGCAAATGAACTGAGCTAGACAACTCTCTAAGGCAGGCTTATGAACAACCAAAAAGGATCTGAAAATATGATCAATATATATCTCTTTTTTTCCTTGTACTTTTCATTTCAATTGCTTTTATGCATTCAATCACATGCGTCACTTACCTAGCAAAGTGACTATTCCAACATGTGTACGTTTCTCACCAGTCTGGTTGAGGATACTATGCATGTTGTCTTAAACAGATACTAGCCCATTTCTTTGCCCCATAAATGCCATGCCTCTCTATTTTTCTCTTTAACATCTTTCCTCAGACTCTCTCCTTCACCTACCCTCTTCCCATACTGTATCTGGTATTTATAATCATTTTCTACGTTTCTATATACTCTAGCCATCAGAAAATAGAATAAAATAAAAGGCATTAGGCATTCATATAGAAAAATAAGAGGTGAAATTACCTCTATTTGCAGATGACATGATTGTATACATAGAAGACCCAATTGGATCCATGATAAAATTCCTGGAAGTAATAAATGAATACAGTAAAGTTGCAGGATACAAAATCAACATACAGAAATCTATAGCATTTCTATATACAAACAGAAGGCAGACTGAGATAGAACTAAAAAAAGTAATTCCATTTACCATACCCACAAAAACTATAAGATACTTAGGAATAAATCTAACCAAAAAAGTTAAAGAACTCCTCAAGGGAAACTATGAGAAGCAAAAAACAGAAATAGAAAATGACACAAAAAAAGTGGAAGGACATCCCATGTTCCTGGATTGGAAGAATTAATATAACCAAAATGGCAATGCTACCAAAATTAATCTACAAATTTAACACAATATCAATCAAAGTGCCAGAGACATTCTTCACAGATCTAGAAAAGACAACCATATAGTTTGTCTGGAATCACAAAAGACCTCATATTGCCAAAGCAATCCTGCACAGGAAGAGTGGAGTGAGCAGCATCTCACTCCCTGATCCCAAAATATACTATAAAGCTGTGATAATCAAAACAGAATGGTATGAAACAGACAGATGGACCAATGGAACAGAACAGAAACCCCAGAAATAAACTCCCAAACATACAGCCAACTAATTTCTGACAAATGGTACCAGTCAATCATGTGGAAAAAGGAAAACTTCTTTAACGAATGGTGCTGGAAAAACTGAATATCCACCTGCAGAAAGGTGGATATCCAACATGAATGCACTTCACAGCAGTCCAGTTGAAGATACATACCATACATGTTATGATCAACAGATAGCCATCCATTTCTGTGTCCCATAAATGTCTTGCCTCTCTATTTTTCTCCTTGATTCCTTCTCTCTCACTCTCCCCATTCTCCTGCATTCTTCCCACACTGTCAAAAAAAAGAGAGATTACTATATGAGAAATGCTAAATACATCTGAAAATATCTTAAGATATTTTTGGTTAAAGGTTAGAAAGGAGAATCAATAGGACTTTACAATTGACTTCTCAGCAAAAAGGATGTAAACCTAAAGACAATGAAAACATCTTTTAAAATGTAAATAAAATAACATACCCAGTGAAAATTCCCTTCAAAATTTAAGTAAAAGTACATTTACAGACAAAGTTGAGGTTATCCTTCATCAGAAGACATGTGATAAAGGAAATACCAAGGGACTTCTCTAGAAAGAATGAAAAAGATACCAGAAAAAAAAAAAAAAGGAAAAGGGGAACCAGCAGTTAGCGTAATGGCTATGTCGCTGGACTCCCACGTAGTCGACCGCGGTTCGCGTCCTGGACCCGGTGGCTTAAAACTCACGCCGGGCGCGTGTGCGTGCATGCCCAAGATCCCGAGAGGAGAATGGAGGAGAAGGGATTGCGGCGTGACCATCCCCCCTGGGGGGTGATTTCTTGCTTTCTGTCTCTAATGTCTCTCTCTGTCTGTCTGGCGAGCGCACGTGCCCTATAGTGAAAATCTCTCCAAAAAAAGAAAAAGGATATAAAATACAAGAGAAAAGGAAGAGCAGAGAAAATAGTAGATACACAGATAAATATAAATAATTGACTGTATAAAACTCTCATAATAATATTTCAAGAGCTTAAACTGTATGATAGCAATAATACAAAGGCAATAAGTGGTAAGTGGAGTTAAGGTATTCCAAGGCTCTACCATTTTCTAGGAAGTGGAAAATAACAGTATTCAACTGAGACTGCTATATTTCTTTCTTTTTTTTTAATCTTTTTTTTTTTAGAGGTTTTTGCTATAGGGCATGTGCGCTCGCCAGACAAAGAGAGACAGAGAGACAGAAAGCAAGAAATCATCCCCCAGGGGAGATAGCCATGCTGCAATCCCTTCTCCTCCATTCTCCTCTCAGGATCTTGGGCATGAAAGCACACGTGCCTGGCATGAGTTTTAAGCCACCGGGTCCGGGACGCAAACCATGGTCAACTACGTGGGAGTCCAGTGACATAGCCATTACACTAACTGCTGGCCCTGAGACTGCTATATTAATGATACAAGTGATAAAAGTGATAATCTCTCGATAATTGCCAAAAGAATTAATAATGTATGACTAAAGTAATAGATTAAAATAGAATAATAATATATATTAGACAAAAATGGCATTAATGAATTAATGCCATATACAATGCAATTTTAATACCTGGAGTCCTCGTGTTGTATATTAGCTTTCTAGACTTGTTCATCCTATATATCCACAACTTCATACCTATAATGACAGTGTCAAACCAATAGGAAGATATAACAATTCAAATGTATGTATCTTTTAGGTTCAAACTATATAAGTATAACAGTAAAAAGAGAAATAAATCTATTATCAAAGTGATAGACTAAAATGTACCTCTGTTACTAATATAAAAATCTGAAGAAAATTAGTAATTTTACAAAATATCCAAAGAGCACAAAAATAAACTGACATTTAGACTACGGTACCCAGTAATCACATTGTGTGTAGTCTTTCAAGTGCACATACCAGATTTAAAATATGGTCATATGTGGTTCACAAAGCAAATCTTAACAAATGTGAAAGAACATAAACTACTCAAGTATGTCCTCTGATGGCATGGCATTAAGTTAGAAAACAATAACAGAAAAATACCTTGAATAAATGTTTGGGAAGTGAGATCATTTCTAAATAATTCATGGTTCAAGGAAAAATGCAAGTAGAAATTAAAAACTAACTAGGTCATACAGGAAATTTAATCTCAGATGTAGAAGACAGAATTGCTGGCCTAGAAAAATCCACCATGAACACTGAGAAAATTGCCCCCAAAAATTAGGATAATATATGAGAAATACTAGATACCACTAAATGTCCAAATATCTGAATAATTGGTATCCCAGAAGGCAAAGAGACTCATAAGGGCATTGATAATCTAGTCCATGAAATCCTGGAAGAAAACTTTCCAAAGCTAGAGAGGCATTCAAAGATCCAGTCCCAATAAATACAAAGGACCCCAAGTAGAATCACCCAAGAAGATCTTCAAGACACATTATAGCCAGATTGACCACAACAAAAGACAAAGACAAGATACTAAGACTGGCAAGAGGGAAATGTCAAATTACCTACAAAGGGCATCCCATCACATTAACAGAGGACGTCTCATTAGAAACAGTGCGAGCAAGGAAAGAATGAGAAAATATATTCAAAGTATTAAGGGGAAAGCAATTTCAAACAAAAATAATGTACCCAGCAAGATTATCCTTCATATCGGAAGAAAAGCCAAGAACATTCTCAGACAGACAAAACCTGAAAGAATTTACCAACACCAGACCAGATCTCCAAGAAGTTCTCAAGGGGTGCTATACAGGAAAATTAAATACAGACACACAGAAATAAGACTTCAAAAACTAAGAAAATGGTCAACTTAATCATAGGGACAAGACTGGAGTTGAATATTATATCACAGAAAATATGTTAAAATGAATGAAAAAATATATATTTACCTTAAGAAGTTAGAAAAGGAGCAAAATAAACCAAGAGAAATTTAAGAATGAAATTTAATAAAATAAAAATAAATATATTCACCCAGCACCCAGATCTTTGTATCTAATACCATTATCAAATGAAAGGAAAGGTCTCTCCTTGCCTGCCAGCAGGCACAAGGTCCACCTACAGGCCTCTGGCCAGCAAGGGATATTGAGGAAGGATCACCTCTGACCCCCACCCCATTTTCAGACTCCCTAGCTCAAGACTCCACCTCCTAGACTCTCCTTGCCTGCAAGCAGGCGCAAGGTCCACCTACAGGCCTCTGGCGAAATCGCGCACCATACTAATGCGTGGCGCATGACTTTTTCTTTATTTTTCTCTATTGTCTTTCATTTCGTTTCTTATTATCCTCTCCTCCTCATTTTTTACCTTGCCAGAGGGACTAGATAGGTCTAGAATCAGATCTCTGAAATTTTCTAGTAAGGTAAGTGTCTCTGGGATCCTCCCACGTACTGATCCACCTGTGAAAACGGAGATACTGCTTTTTAGACACCTCAGTAGAGTTCCCCTCTTGAGAGCACATTGGTAAAAACAACAGAAGAGAGACTTCAGCAAACATCTATTCCCATCCAAAAAGAACACTCTTACTCCTAGTGGGAGAAACATTTCCCCCAGGAGGTTTTCAAAAGGGAATAAATCTTCCAATGGCTAGAAGTAGAAAAATAGCCTCAGGTTTGAATAAACAAGGAAATATGTCTCCAACAAAGGAAGATGCCCCTCTATGTCTCGTAAATATGGAGGACATTACCAAAATGACAGACACAGAATTTCGAACATTCAT